CACAAAGGAGCCTCTGAAATTGTCACTGAAAGAAGTACTCAAACTTATTAAAAGCATCCCTAAATTTTACCTTAGAGCCTGGACATACCAATTCTTATCCTCAGCAGCTTCATTTAAAGGTGTGTGAACTAACACAGATGTACATATCTTACACAGCTGGACAGTAAACAATAATTTTATTGAATTGAGCATCATTGCATCTGACTCCAATGCAAAAACTATTAAAAACATACTTTTAAGTAAGAATAGACATGTATTTTTATTTTGATCTCCTGTCTTTCTTTGCAATGGGGTTGATATGTTATGCATATCTTTTGCTGTACTAGTTAGAATTTGTTCAATTTATGTGCCTGTGAAAACTCCTAGAGACAGAGATTTTCAATGAAATGTTTTAGACTGTAAAAAAAAAATTGGAAAAATATATATATGTACTTCCCTATATAGAGGTATATTTCTTATACACAGTTGTACTGTTTTAGCTAATATGTGAAAAATAAGCAGTATGCAATAGCTTATGTTTTTGTCAGCATTTTAACATGTGGAAGTACACTTCCGAAGCGCTATCAAAATAGAAGGAAACCGGTTATAAAAATGGACAGACTGTGTAACTGAAAAATATGCAAATAAAAAACTTGTGATGATGTTCAAACAACAGAGCTATGTGAGAAAGAGGTAGTGGGATTAACACTCCCATATACTTCAAAACTGATTATTTGGATATAGCCTTCTTTGGTCACTGAGGATCTATGATTTGCATTAAACCTTAGCTTAAAGAGTACCGTGTTGAAACAATTATATTAGGAAGCCAGAAACTCTATAGTGGTCCTAACTGCCATGCAAATTTTCATTTCTGAGATCTATTTTTGGGTTACTATCCAGAAACTGCATTTTTCCTTTTGAGACATGACACAGAAACAACACAAGAAGAACAAACAGAAGCAGAGAACCTGCCCAACTTTATTCAGAGCCAACTTCCTCTCCCTTCTGTATCTGAACTAGATTCTTCCTCCTTTTCTTTTTCCTCCTTTTCATTTCTCTTTCCTTTCAAAGAAGGCTGGAATTGTCCTGGGACGTGCTTTCTTTTCAGAAAGTCAAAATTCAGATGGAAATCAATGTTCCATCATTTATTCCCAAAAAGGTCATTTGAATTTTGGTTTGGGTCTTTCAGGCCATCCATGAAACTCCAGTTTCAGCTAGGATTCACTTTCCACTTCATCTGAAAAGAACTATGGTTTACAACACAAACTTCTTTCACAGCTGGAGAAAAAAACCTGAATGGCTTCAAACAGCAGCAGCTACAGATCACAGAACTGTAGAATAATTCAGGTTGAAAGTGGCTGCTGGACGCTTTTAGTCCAACCAACCTCCCTTTCAAAGTGGTATCAACTATGAATTGGACCAGGTTACTCATAACTTGATAAAGTCAGGCATTGGAAATCTCCAAAGATGGAGATGGCAAAACCTCTCTGGGCAACCTGTTACAATGATGGACAGCCCTCAGGGTGAAAAAGTTTCCCTTATAACCAGTCTGAAATTCTCTTGTTTGAATTCAAGTCTGTTGTCTCTTACTCTCTTGTCATGCAGCACTGTGAGGAGCCTGTCCTTCTTGATAACCTCCTCATAGACACTGTCAGGCTGCTGCTAGGTTGCCCTGAAGCCACCAAAGAAAAAAATATTTTTTTCCTGCCAGGCTGAACAAGAGCAGTACCCTCAGTCTCTCTTTACACTGCAAATGCTAGAGCTTCCTGACCATACTGGTGACCCTCTGTCAAACTTGCTCCAATTTGTAGATGTCTTACTTTTCCTGGAGAAAAAAAAGGGGAATTTTTTTTCTTCCCTGAAGGTCTCCATTTGTTTCCATCCTTTGAGCATGCCTATGTATACATACAGTTGCATGTTCACACATACAGATATTCTAGACCTAAATATGTCTTTCCTGATTTTGTATAATAAAATTACATTTAGATTTTTCTGGATTATACTAATGTTAGTGAAAGACAGATCAGTATAAAAAACCACATTTTAATGTTACTGTTTATACATGTATATATGAAAAAATTGTTAATATATGAGTACAGTGATCAAACCCCTAAAATGTGGTTGTGTATTAAGGCATGGTTTTACATACCCCACGTACACTTTAACATTAGCCTCTAGTATTTGGTTTTTTTCTTAAATTTGTTTCTCCAAAGTTAAAAGGTGATGTAGAAAGAAATCTCAGTTAAAACAAGCAAACAAAGAAGAAAAGTTTGAGAAAACGCTTTTTCTAAGGCCAAGGAAGACCTAAGAGCAGAAGGAGAAGGTGGCACCGAATGGAGCCAAAATTCCCAAGCTGCTGTCATGCTGGCACTGCAGAGACGAGAGAAGGTGGGAGAAGCTTGCAAAGGGATGAGTGAACAGTAGGTGAAGGAAATGTGCACCCTGCATAAGGACATGTCTCATTGCAGCTCTACAGTTCAGATGAGGAGTGGAGCATGTGTGGAAGCCTGTATTTTGCTCGCTGGGGAGCTCTGAAGTCCAAAAGATAGATAACTCCAGGGAAACGTAGTCTTGAACAGCAAATCATCTAGCTAATGCACCAGGATCAAAGCACCAAACTTCCACCTCAGTCCAAAACACGCTGTCTGAAAAACACTCTCAGTGCTTACTCCAGATTACCATAGCACGGCAAGCAGTAAAAGGAAATAAAAAGACCCAGTAGAAATCTACACAAGCATTCCTTAACTAACCTCCACATATAAAACAGAAAGTAAATTTTCACTTATTTGGGATGGCCTACAAAATGCATTCTCTACTTTGTCATTCATGATTATTGTGGCCAGCCCATCTTGGCCTGATGCAGTCCCCGAAGCTTTACGCACTCATGTCATATATTCTTTTCTAGCTCATTTGACAGGTGTTTAAAGCACTGCCACACTATTGCATGACAGAGGCTGCGGATATTCATGTAATATATGGGAAACTGTAACCGAAATGTTAAGATGTTTGTAAGAATCCTCATAACGATGCAATTAATTTCTAACCAAGGCAAAAGACAGGCATGAGACCTCAAACAATGCTACTTATGCACTTATAGGAGCCCTTCTTGAACTCGGTGAGGGGTGTAAAAGGCAATAATTCCAGGTAGCCTTTAACTTTCCCAGCTGTGTCCCTGTGTGCTTGGACAATGTCTCTATACAGAGAGGTTGTGGAGTCTCCATCCATGGATATAATCAAAACCCATCTGGATGTGGTCCTGGGCAACTGCGCTAGCTGTCTCTGCTTGAGCAGGGGGGGTTGGAGAAGATGATGTCCAGAGGTCCCTGCCAACCTCAGTCAATCTGTGCCTCTGTGTGTCCACTTCAGAAGGCATTACAAAAAAAAATCCTCTAAGAACAATGAGGTAGGAGATAAAATCTTTCTTTTTTGATGTTCTGAACTCCTATGTAACTTGGTAGTGATAGAATAGTTCTTGGCCCAGGGGATATTTAGATGAATATTTCCACACCTTAGGACTAAATCTTGCAAAATACCATCATCAAACTTACAATGACATTCTGCCTGTTCAAATTAGGGGCCATAAGTGAATAACTTATAATGGTACATTCTAATGGTGACCTCTGCAAGTCATTATTGTTAACATTTCTGAGATTTAAAGCATTAACATTAGTAAACTGAGGCCATTGTCTACTACATTTTTAACATACTATATGTTAGTGCAAACTTGACACAGTCTCAAAAACATAACTCAAAAGTCAGTGAAAAACCGTCTGCAGTGCACAGAGAACAACACAAGCAAACTCTTAATTTCTGAAATATCAATACAAAAATTGCATTTCTGTTTTTAAATTATTCTACAAACCCTATTTAAGCGAGTAATAAGGGCACTATAATAAATTATTTCTAGCTTGGTAAATCATACCATAATTTGTGCACACACTAAATGCTGACCATATTCATTAAAAGCAATAATCACAAATTGCTTGGGGTTTCTATTCACTATTAACAGGCTTTAAATAAATGCCTATGAGATTCAGGAACAAAAGTTGGTTTTGAAACTTCCCTCCAAGGTTTTAATAAACTTAATGAGAAGGGGAAACTCTAAAAACCTCTAGAAACCTAAGTATTTTTCACTTGTAAATGCTGAAACACTGAAAACACACAGTTCTGCTACTGCAAATGCTTTTTAGTCATAACTAACTAGTCCTCTTTATTTCCAATGAACATAACATTCACACTACATTTATTATTTACCTCTGCAGCCCACATCCCTCATCACAGACATTCAGCCTTCAGATTCACAATTTTCTGCTGTGCTGATGCCAATTCTCCTGCCTTTAACCTGCTGGCAGCTCTGTATCCCCTCTCACACAGGAGGTCAGGATGAAATGAGAGCTGTAACCCAACATCACTCCATAAAACAACCTAACTCCTTCACTGGACCACACAGAGCTTCTCCTTAGGGACTAAAACCCACTGATCCATGCAAATGTGCAGTGCAGCCCACCTAAATTAATGAGAGAATGGCTATTTCTCTCATTTTACGTACTGCTACAGAACATAAGGAATTAAAACATACGTATTATGTTGGGGTTGAAAAGAAAACACTCTTTTAGAATTACAGATTTTATTATTTTAAAATCTATGTTGATTAAGTCAGGTATGTGCAAACAACCAGGGGAGAAACAAGCACTTATGTCCGCTGGTTCTTTTGTCCGTGTGTTTTTAAGTGAATGCATTGCTATAACACAGCTTTTTCGTTTATATGAGAATCAACTGCCAGCAACCTTTCCCTTCCCTTAGAAGAAACTAATAGAAAATATAGGCTACAAGAACAGGACTTCTATTTCAAAGAGATGGTTGGTGAGCCGTAAAGCAGAAATGCAGGCCTTGATTCATTGATGTATTCACATTTCCAACAAATACCTATTTGATAAGGCCATTTCCTCACTCACAGTCAGACACAGTACAGAAAATTTCCCCTATGAGTCACTGATTTATACTCATATTAATTATTTTACCTGTAATAAACACGCAATGTCTGGATTTCTTCTTCTAATTTTTTGCACTGTTGAAGAGCAGCCTCTTTTTCTTGCTGCAAGGCTATCAAGTCTGCCTGCAAAACAACAAACAAATGATAAACAATTCATTCAGAATATCCGTATTGCTTTGAAAACATAACAACCTTTTATGCATTCATTTCAGTCATGCTTTATTATAATTATGTATATAAAGTTACACTGTTTTGTAATGCTGCCTATTTAATTCTTATGAAAACCCTTTCTTCTTCTAGCATTACAATTTTTTCTAGTTTTTTTCCCCTAGCAAGATGTTTGGAATGGCTACCCACGTGTATACGGTAAACTTTTTGAATGGCTACGGTTAGACCTCCTCAGTCCAGCCAAGTGCTTCTCAGCAAATATATTTCAAATTGATATAATGTTCCTACAGTGCAAAACTGTTGACCAACGTATAGAGAGTGACGCAAGGCACTCAGCCACGAACTGCCGACGCGCAACTCTTGCTCTGGGCACGGCTCTCCAACGGCGAGCCTGTGCCGGGAGCCACGGACGGACGTTACCGGCGGCAGAGCTGCCGGATAACCCGCGCCCTGAGCGGCGGCGGGCGATGAGCCAGCCAGGGCTGCTGAGACTGGCACTGCCGGCTCGCCCGGGGATCTGGGTGCATTCTCATCCAGGATCTGGTTTACAGCGGCGCGAGGGAACCCCTGAGAAACCGCTGTCATCTCCCGCCTGTGAACCCTCCCGGATGTTCCCCCTCCCGTTGTTTATTCACACCCCGCTGTGAAGGGCTTGTGACTCATGGCCATTATGGAAATTGCGGCATGTGGCTGGTAAGGTCAGGAAGGTAGCCAGCCCTGACACGGCCTTATGGTTAAAGAGGAGGTAGGAGAAATGAGTATGCATGTATATTTAATACCGCTCTATAGCTTAATCACCATTAATTTTAAAATGTCCAGTTTCAATAGCACTGCAGGACCCCCTGAGGGCCCAGGTACCATATAAATTATCTCAAAATCAGCAGATGATTAATTATTGCAACAACAAATAAGACCGGGCTTGCACTGCAATTCTTTGACACGTGAGCCTGAGCATTGGGCTGCTTTCCAATGTTATTAATTGTAACAAATCGTAGAGCGCCGAACCAAGAGGCACATGTGTGAGAAACACTGACTACGGATTCTGCCAACTCTTGAGGACAGTGTTATGGAAAAGTTTCTTGGTAAATTAAAGACCTGTTACATGAACGACGAACACATGAAGGGAAATGCACAGTTCAGCCTCTAGCTCTGCCAGACTTGCTGTATAATCATGAACAACTCTGCACGCCTCAGAGTCTCTCTCCTGAAACAGGGCTGCCACTTGCTTCTGTTTCCTGTTTATCTGTTAAGACTGTAAGTCTTCAAGGCAGGTGTTCTACTGTTTGCTGTCACCTCCCAGTCATCTATGGGCAATTTATTCTGCTGGCTGATTAATCATGTCCTGGATACATGGCTGACTCCTGGCAAATTTTATTAAACACTGCAGCGCACAAATACGCTACGCAACCAGCCTCCGCGCCGTGCTGCTCAGCGTGTCGCATCGCACCCAGGGTTCTGCATTAGCGGGGTACAGGACCCACCGCTGTAATCGCTCCTGTAACAGACATTCAAAAAATTTTAAGAGGAAGTTCCCTGGAGAATAAAAACAAACCGTCTTACTATATGGAGGGCTCCTTCAGCTTTAATAGCAGAAAGCGTTAATGTTTAACCTCTGAGTGACAGTGGTTTAGAGCTTCTGATGCTGAAAACAATGTACTGGATGCTGGCAAGCCCTAACTCCTGTCAGCAAGAGGTTAAAATCCTCTGCAGGTGAGCCTCTTGCCCACTCCTGCTTGCTGCCTTGCAAGCAGAACTCACAGAACACAAGGATGTTAGCCAAACCAAGCTATTTTCTGTAATTATACTGTTCTGTAGGTGAAACAACATTCTTAAAAATTGGAAAACACGCTTGAATCAAAGTAGGTGGTTTGTTCTAGAGGCCAATAATTAACATCCTTGCCAATTTTCAGTGTACTGTGAAGTGTGATTGAAATGGTAGACTGGAAGGAAATGTTTGCAGCTGACACACCTACTCACGGAGAGATTAACGGCTAGTCTCTTTGGAGAACTATCATAAAAAATACACCTTATGTTCCACTTGCTTTTCAGGACAAAAGTCAGAAGGCACTAGAGTCTGAAGACTCTTATTTATGTTAGTTTTTCAGCAGAGAAAACTGCACTGATTTGACTGGGGTTTGCACCAGTAAAAATAACAGCAGAATCAGGTGCTTTGGATTAAAAAAAACCCAAACAACACCTACAAAAACAGAAGGGAAGAGAAGTAGACATTTGCTAACCTCCTCAGTACCATGTAGTGGTCTTGATACTAGGGAGCTGCGTGAGACCAACAAAAATTCAAGCACAGGAGTTTCTGTGCACAGCATGCAGCCATGCGACAACACAACCCATCATTCACAGGCCTGAAGAGTGGTAAACACAAATAAATGACTCAAATATCCTCCCAAAAGAGAGATGCCTTCCTTCACTAGAAGAAGGAAAGCAAAGCAGTGCCCATCACAAAGTTAAATTGCTAACTAAAATAATGGTGCCTGCACTACTATAAAATATTTGGAAGACTCCTATAATGTATATTGAAATCCATCCATAGCGCACATGGCAAAAATCCTACATGAGCTCACCTCTAGTAATAACAATAGCTGCTTGGGAACTTTTTAACAAAATATTATTCCTTTGGAAAAAGTCAAGCTGTGGAAATTAGAACTCCTCACAGAAATGGATCAGTTTTGATTAAATTTTTTTGGAAGGTAGGGTAAAGAAGGAGCAGCAAGAAGAAAAAGAATTACACTCAGGTTCCTCTGGTGGAGGTTTTCCCTAAAAAGGTCTATTTAGAGGTGAGGTCAGTCACCACTTTGGTATATGGGTCACCCTCAGTGAAGTTCCTGTTTAACCCTGAAAGAGTATTCTCATCACTGGCATATGATCTCTTTCTCACAATTTTGATTTTCCCACAAGTTCCTACACTTTCGTATTTGGTTTAAAATGGATAGAACCTTCTCCTTTCCCTGTCCCCACCCCACTTTCCTGCAAAAGAGAATTCTTGTTTCTACACTTTTCCCATTTTGCATTTTAGCGAACAGTTACGTGTTGAAAACTTAAGTTTTCTAACTAAATCTAAAAGCTAATTGCTACATATAAAGCTTAAAATAGCCAGACCTTCACTAAGAAAATCTCATTATTGATCCTTTTGCTGTTGCTTTTGTTTCAAAATACTTAAATGAACAATGCTATGTATTTTCTTAATGCAAAGGCTGGAAAAATACAACACTTAAACAAAGGGAAATACAGAGGGTAAAACTAGTTTTTATCTTTTCCTAATTCCTCTAGGGCAAACATAAGCACCCTCAACCCTAATCTAAATCGAAAGAGGTAAGAACACAGTGCATCCTACGCTGTCAGGTTCCCTGTAGGTGAGAGATGGCTTTTATAATGCTTTTCAACACCCAACAGAAAGAACAAGACATTCGATGAACTTGAGTAATAAAGCTTCATAGCTTTGTCTTTTTATTGATTTTTTTCCTCATGCATTTATAGAGAGCATATGTATTATCTATATATTTATACAGAGCATATATTTTTCCTTCTGTACATCGGCTAAACAACCAACCTTTTCTGTTACCTCTCAGTAAGCAGGCTATCCATTCTCCTGATCAATTCAAACCCATCTCTCATCAGTATTCTGCTAGCAGTATGTCCTAACTTCAGTGGAAACATCTTACCTGACACATTCTTGCGTGTCTTTTGTTCAGTCACCCTCAGATACCTGTCTGTTCTCCTGCCCGCAGGTATTACCCAGCTAACAGTGGAAATTCTTATTCATCCTTAAATGATGACACCTTACACTTGATACCATTGAATTCCACCCCACTGCTTTTATTTTTCCACCACTTGAGGCCATTCCAATCTTTCTGCAAGACAGCTTGAACTCACTTTGTCTTAATAATATCTCCACTTTGTATTAATAACATCTCCCAGCTCTGCATCATCAAGCAATTTCTTCAGTACACTGCTGCTCTTCATGCCAAAGGATCTCGACGACAGCATTAAAGAAAACTGGTTCAGTACCAATTGGTGAGAAAGTGGAGAGAAATTCCACTAGTGAAATCCTTCGACCTTAATTTCTCCTTTCAAAGCTGTTTGCTGTTGCCTTCCTGCTAACAAGTTCCTTATTGCCTTTGACTAATCCCTCATCTCCTTCATGGGTACATGACATTTTGCAGACAGGCATGAGCCCAACGTGCCCATCCTTCCAAACAAGAGATGCGAGGTGAACCCAGTTAACAGGAAGCAGCAATTCCCTACATTAAGCCTGTGCCTGCTTGTAAAATAACAATATACACATTCTCCACTGTAATTAATAATTTTCCATATGGCACCACATATAAGTTTATGTGTCAGCTTATATTTAACAAATTTCCTTGCCTAACCAGTTATCATACCAAAGAAGAATTCTTGCGTGATCTTGCTTAGGTGAAAGTTGTATTTCAATCCACTGTTGATGGAGCCACGCTTTAAACACATTTTCCTTCCAAATTTACTCTGAAGCCTGACAATAAAGACTAACTGGTCTACAATTGTCAGAATTACGTTTTTTGCCCTTCTAAATATAGATGCTGCCTCTGCTAATTCCCTATCATATTACACCGAACACATCCTCATATGTTTTATTAAAGAACTTTACTATCATTCCTGCAATTTCAGATACCAGCTCTTTCAGAATTGGGGATGAAAACCATCCATTATCTCAATCCGAGCACAATAATCTATTAAACAGCTATGACGTACTCCATTTCCATACATTCACTTTTCTTAAGCCCTGTCCTCATAGTTGACATCATCATTGCCCAATGCTGAGAGAAAAAAAACAAAACCACACACTTTCGGACCTAATCCGGATTATCATTGATCTCCATACCATTCTCAGAGCGGTGGCACATTTCCTCTTTCCTTGTTCTCATTTCAGTCGTTACACTATTGTTTGTTTTAATTCCCTTTCCAAGAGCCAATTTAGCTTAACCTCTGGCAATTTTAGTTTGTCGCTATATCTCTTGTTTTCTAAGACATAACTTGCTTTCTTAATAAGGACTCTTCTAGTAGAAGAGTTATCCTTATTTTGTTCTTACTGAACAAATTAACAATTAGAACTGACATCCTTCCCACCCAAAGCATATTTGAGATACCTGTTAACGCACAGGTATTCCTTAACTCAGCAATAGTTGCTACCAACAGCTTGCTTTCTGTTGATCCAGGATATTCCTATGGATTAGAAGGAGGCTGGATGAGAAATCTGGAGAGTCTTGAAGGTCATTTCTGCAATCTATGGACTCAATCATTTACACTTGGTAGAGCTGTGTAATGGGGAAAGATGGCAATAAAATGACTTTCTGCTCCTTTGATCCTATGTCATCTGGAGTCTGAAATGGAATCTAGCCACAAATGGACAACTGAGAATTGCCCCTATTTCTCATGGGGAAGAAGTATGTTTCTGCTGATATTAGCAGGCTAGCTGGACAGTAAGAGGTCAGGTGTCTTCTCAGGGCAGCAAGAGACTGGGAGGGGGAACAAAGGTTTCTTTCATTCTGAATTAGAATGAATAAACAAGAAAAAAAAATCTGGAAAAATGTTTT